AGCCTGTTCTCTGGGCAGGGGCTCAGGCTTTGCACGTGCCCCTGCCCGGTTCGTTCATGCACTAACCCAGTTTGGCATTTGCTCTCCCTCGCCCCAGACTCCCTACACCTGTACGCCTTCCTAACGAGGAGAACACCCTCAATGTTGAATTACAGCACCCCAGGGGAGCACGTCAGCACAACACGACTTTAGTTAACTCGGGTGCATGCACTGCTGCCAGGCTGAAGCCGACGGCCTCAGTGCCGCTGCGGCCGCACAAGCCGGGCTCTGCTGCTCCTCTCAAGCCCGACCGTGGGCACTCACAGTGCATCGAGTCCCGGCACCCAGCACACAGCCGTCCCGCTCACCCGGCACAGCTCACTCCCGCGGCAGCCAGCACCCACCTCCTCACCCCCGGCGCGAGTCTGCCAGCGAGGGGCCCCTCAGCCTCCAGGCATCATGGCTGAGCCCAGGGCAAACGTGTGAATTGCCACCGCCTGAGCCGGCCCCTCTCATCCCACCGCGCTGGCGCAACCCCAGGAGGGTCTTCGGTGCGTGCCGAAGGTGCTCGCTGCAGCAGCTCGGCTTTGCCTGCCCAGGCGTCCCCACGCAAACACCCTCCACGTCGAAACGTTTCCAAGCACCGCCTAGCCAAGTTGCTGGTGTAAACTTGGCCTGTTTCCCCCCTCCCACACTCTGGTGATAATTTTAATCGAGAAATTTCAGTAAGGCCTTTTCACTGAGCTCGTCCCTGCACCATTTTGGCCACTACAGCTTCTCTTTCCTAACATGAGACCAAGAGCAGAGGTTTGCTCTGCCTGCCAGCAGTCCCCTGAGAACCCTCAGGATCCATCTGTACATCGGCAGGAGAACTTGTGCGCTCTCCCTGCCTTGCCTTCCCAGGCTCCCCCCTGGGCTTCAGCATTTCCAACCTCCTGCTCCTTCAGCTGCCAAGGGAGGAAGACCAAAAGAAGGCAGAGCTGCATGTCTTTGCACAAGGCACAGCTGTAAAATAATACAAGCCCATGCTTTTACTGGAGAAATGTGAGTCTAATTAATAAAGCTGCACTGGCTACCACACAGGAATGCTTGCTGAGCACCTGTAGGTATAAACAGGAATATAAACTTTCACAAATACAGCTCAAATCAGAAACAAATGGATTATTGTCTTTTACAAAGAGCTCTCCCAACCTGGAATACTTTCAGTGCTGTTGGAGGGCAACAGGCTGTAACTCTATCGGCCCCTTCCCTGACCAGAAAAACCCTCCCCATGTTACGAGGCAGGTGCCACTGAATTATGAAAACTCGCTTTATTTCAGCCTCCCTGCTCAGCCCACGATCTGGAGGTTTGCAAAACACTTCCCCTGCAGGAGTTCTAATAACACCTTCCTCAGCCACTGTAATTAGCTGTTTACCCCCCAAATATTACTTTTTTGGCACGACTCTCACAATGACCTCACTCACTTTCCATGCAGGAAAATTTCATGTTTGGGAAATTGGATTATTGGAGGATTTACTTTTCTTTAACAGTGGAAGCGGCGC